TCAGCACGGGGCAGCTGCCAGCTGTGTCAGTGTGGGGTGAGGGATCCTCAGCTGGGCTCGGGAAGGAACCCAGGGGAGAGAGGACAACTTGCTGAGAGCTGCTCTGGGGAGCTTTCTCCAACACCACCTCCCTCCAGCCACCTGCCCTGGGGGCTGTTCCTGTCAATGCAGCTGGAATGGCTTGGTGTTTCCTGGCAGGAGAGTGAATGTCACTGTGACTCTGGGAGCCCACAACATAAGGAGGCAAGAAGAGAGCCAGCAGAAGATCCCTGTTGAAAGATGGGTCATCCATCCTGAATATTCCCGTAAAGGCTTCAAAAATGACATTGTGCTGCTGAAGGTATGGCCCAAGAGATCCTTTCTTGCCTGAGGGATCTCCCCCTGCTCACGTCTGCAAACTCTGAACTTGCTCCTCATCCTTTGCTGGCTCTAACCCCGTGTTCTCTCTGCCTGACAGCTGAAGAAAAAAGCCGAGATCAATGATTATGTGCGATGTATCTCCATTCCCAAGGAAAATGAAAGTGTGCGAGTAGGAGATTTATGCACGGTGTCAGGCTGGGGCCGGACATCTCTGGATCCACCAGAGATGAGGGGGAGTGATGTCTTGATGGAGGTGGATCTGGAGGTGCAATATGCGGAAATATGTGAGCAGCGTTTCCGGAACTATCAGTGTCAGTCTATGATCTGTGTTGGTGATGAAAACCGTAAAAAATCAACTTACAAGGTAAGTGTTGTATTGGGCTGCAAGCTTGGGAGGAGGTTTTGACTGGAAATTCAGCTTAGTTCTCAGGTGAAAGCCAAAGGACACCATAATGGACCAGGACCTTCAGAATGATGAGCTGAGGGTCCTCACAGAAGCTCTGAAGCTTATGAGTTCCCTGAATTGGGGTGCATTTTCCTAACTATCAGTAAGATTTCCTATTTTACTTACCTGGGGATGTTCTACCCAGCCTAACCAGTGCTTTGGTGTGTAAATTCCTTGTGATATCCTTGCTCTGATGGCATAGATATTTCCCCATGGCTAAAGTAGGTCTGTGTTCCTCTGTTGAGTTTTTGAATCTCATGGAGCCTCCAGGTGTAAATTGTTTCATGGGTGGGCTTAGAGGAGTAGTGAGGCAGCTACAAACACTGAGAGCTGGGTCTGGAGGGAGGGAGGTTCTTGGAAGAGGAGGTGCTTCACCTGGAGAGAGGGAAGAGGAAACTTGCTGCTTAAGGCAGGGAGAGCTGAGCTGTGGCATGTCTGACCCCTCTAACTCCTTTCATGGCACAGGGTGACTCTGGTGGCCCATTGGTCTGCAATAAGAAGGCTCATGGCATTGTTTCTCGTGGAAAATCAGGCCACCTCTTTCCTAAGGTATTCACCAGGATCTCCCACTTTGAGCCCTGGATCCGCAAGAAGCTGCAAGGTTTTTCACGCAAGGCAATTCCTTGCATTCCATTTTCTGAGTAAAATGCTCATTGCCCCTTCTCCACAATGCACCCAACACCTGCTGTTGCTCACAAGCTCCCAGGGGCAGCTGGAGTGGAGTCAGAGAAGCCCCTGTGGTGCAGGCAGAGGCTTTGGCAGTAAGGAGAGTCTCCGTGGCAAGCTGTAAATGCAGCTCCCAAGTACACCCAGCTTCCTCATTGCTCCCTTCCTCCCAACTACTGCTCCAGCTCTGTTTCTGGCCATCAATAAAAGCATGCTCAAAATCACTTGTGTCTGCAGCCTTTTTGAGAGCTGGATTCAAACCCTGAGTGTGAGAATGAGGAGGTGACTGACATTGTGTCTGGTCCGTCGGGGTCCATTGGCAGATATGCCAAGCGTGGCCGTGCCCTGCCTCTGCTGCCAGCAGTCCGGATCACAGTTCAGCCACTGGCTGGGGTCCTAAACAACCAGAGGCATCCAATAATTGTCGACCCAACTCCAAAGGATCAGTGCAAAGGAAAATAGGAAGGACTCTTTGCTTGCTTCTTCGAGCTGCTTTAGTTATTTCAAACGCAGAAGCGGTGCTGGGGCGGTGCTGTATGGAATCGGCAGCGCGGCACAGGAGCTGTTCATTCCCGTGGCAGGAGCAGCGCCGAAGCGAGGCAGGGGACACAACAATCTGGGCACTGGCAGAGGCAGCGTCTTTGGCCTCGATCTCTCCCACGGCAGCTGATGCCACCCTGTAGCAGACCCCATGCAGCTTAGGAGAGCTCTACAGAGCATTGAGATTTACCTGTAGGAACTTATGAGTGATGAGGAGACAGAAAAATAAGCTCCTGTCTTCTTCTACCCGTTCCCCCTGAGCTTATCTCTGTAATCTCATAGGTCTATTCTCCCTGACCTTTACTATGGGACAAGTTTGGATCCCCCTATAACCTATAACAAGGGACTGTTTTAGCCCATTCAACAGAAGAAGAGCTGTCGCTGGAACCCTTCGCAGACTCCCCAATAAACCATCGCTGTGGAACTGCCAGGACCTCTCCTTCTCCTCTCTCGCATCTGCTTCTGCCTCAGCCAAAGGCGCCCTAGGAAGCAAGCAAAGAGCTGAAATCCTAAGAGAGCTGAGAATCACCAAAGAGCTGACAATCACTGAGCTTGCTAAGGGCAGCCTGCGGCGGCTGCGAGCTGACTGGGTATTGGGGCACTCTGTCTCCCAGAGGGACTGGGT